AGAGAGAGAGAGAGAGAGAGAGAGAGAGAGAGAGAGGGGCGGGGGAAGAAAGAGAAGGAGGCAAAGGAAGCTGTATTGTAAATTCTATTACCTCATGTGCAAGCGGGCGTTATTTTTGTCCGCACGAAGCTCGTTATGAAGTTTTTCTAGAATTTCGCCATGTAATTTGCATAAACTTCGATTCTCTTGTATTTCTTGGGCCCTCCATTCCTCGTTTCTGATTTTCTTTTCTTTTTTCTCTTCCTTTTTCACATCGTTCTCTCACTTTACTCGCTCCTCTCGCTCGGACGACGAATCGATACCGGTCGCCCTTAATATTTTTCCACGACTGCGGCATGTCGAGCATCGCGCGCGAAACTATGCGCCGGCTATATCCGCGCGCGGCTTAAGTCCTCGAGCGCAAACATCTCGGACAATTTTCCGCTGTAGCCGTTGCCGACGAGAGAAGCAGAGAGAGAGAGAGAGAGAGAGAGAGAGAGAGAGAGAATGCGGCAGCTTTACTGTTTCCTGGAGGAAATCCGCGGACCTGCCTCTCGCTCGCTTTTCCCGCGGCGGAGAGTGAGGTTCCGTCGAATCCGTGCCTCATGGCCCCACAAGGGCGATACCTATATCACACCACCGGCTGCTTTCGGATAGAGTCAGGGAAAGGATGGAGGAAAGGAAAAAGGGAGGAGACAGAAAGGAAGAAAGAGAGAAAGAGAATGTGTGTGTGAGAGCCTTTTCTTTTCCGCCAATCGTGCATTCCTCGGGAGAGTAACCTTCTTAGGGGCCTCCTGAGTTTCCCCAATACCTTCAAATATCTCGAAGACTCCGCGCCGCTTGCAAATGCAGCCCCGCTGCAATCCGTTTTGCCGATGCGCACAAACGCGATCGAGAGCGCGGTGCTTTTATCGAAATTTTATACGGGACGCTTTTCGCGGCTCTTGCTTATCTGTGCATATTTATCGCGATGGCACGCGGATCTCGCGCATGGAGATGCGTGAACGCGCGCGATTTCCACGGGGCGTCCTCGGCGATTTTCGATAATCTCCGTCCGGCGCGCGGTGGGACGTGTGCAGAAAAAAATTTTTATTTCACTTCTGCCCCTTCCAACTATCGTTGTCGATACCGAGGGGAAATGGACAGGTGACTCTCGCGCTTTCAAAGCGAGACATTTACGCGCTCGTGTCTTTTGGTATTTTCCCTCTCTTTTTCTCTGTCTCCCTCTCTCTCTTTGGAACACGGCGAATCGGACGGAAATTCAAGAAAGAGATCAGCCCACCGCGGGGCGCATCTTATCCGATACGGCAGCGCGCAGACATTCCGTAGCTCGTAGCTGACAATCCAATTTCGTGGGGCGTAAATCCTTCAATTACAATTGATGCGGCAGTGAATACCGACAAGAGCGTTACAGACCGGCCGATGCAGCGCGTCACACGGACGTTCTCTCTCTCTCTCTCTCTCTCTCTCTCGCGCGCGCGAGTCTTACATCTTTTTTCTAAGGAAATTTAATCCATTTCCGACTGTATACCTTCTTCTTCCTCGCGGAACCGTGATGCTTAAATAGCTGGAGAGAGAGTGTTACGTGAACGGAATTCCGCGACACAATTCGCATTGCCGGTACGTCGAGTCGAGAAGGAGCTGCGTGCTGCGCACAGCGTGCGCTGCATAACACGTGTGTGGGATGTATAAACGTGCCGGGGCTAGTAGTCGGCGAGTCGCGCGTGATCTCATTTGAGACCGCGATACAATCAATTCGACGAAGGTGCCGGCGATCCTTGTCCTCGCAATCGGCGAACTCGCGCTCGCGATCCCGATGTCTCTGCGTCCCGTTCGCGCGAAAAGAAGGGGCGTAATGAAAAACGCAGTTATGGACGGTGGAAAGCATCTCATGGAAATCCCCCTGATTCCCGCGTCAAAGGGAAATCGTAATTTTTCTCACAAGAGCGTAGCAGCGCGCTCCGCGTTTTGTCCCGGCGAAGTGGACTATCACGATGACCCTACAATCTCCGGCGTGCGGGAAACATGAAAAGAACCGCCGAGGTGTTGGCTGAAAGAGTATATACAAGCAAATTTCTCCGGGAAAACTGGCGGCGATGAAAGAAATTCTTTCCCGACTTTCTCTCTCTCTCTCTCTCTCTCTCTCTCTCTGTCTATGTCTCTCTCTCTCCCCGCCTCTGCCACGCGAAACAGTCGATTTTCTCGGTGCGACGCGAGGAATTCCCGCGCGCGATTGTAAGATTTCTCCCAAACGAATAAATAAACTTGGCGTTTTATATGCTTCCATTTTCCATGAGGAAATTTATGTCGAAGGATTTATTACAAAACGGGACGCGATATTAAAATAGGGATATTAAAGCAAAGGAGGGGATATTGAGGTAAGAATGAGATGGACAATTTTCGCGACGTGTAAAGGGAATTTGACATTTTATGCGCATATCGCTTATCCCGACGAATACAACGTCAATTTGCTTTCGCCCATAAGCGTCCCGAAAAGGGGGTAACCTCGGGCGTTAATTTTGACGAGCACGAGGAAGGACAAGTGAGTGCATCGAGAGAAAAGAATCCGCTCAAAGAATTGAATGCTGCGATTAAGGCCTCGGGACACCCTGTAGATTCCCGTGCAGATTTATACGCCGTGAAAGCAACGAAAGCTGAGTGCTCCCGGCTATCATTGAGAGTGCTCAGGGCAATGGCAATCTGACCACTTCGGTCAATTTAACGTAATCTTGCCGACGATTGAAAGACAGATCGGGGGCCAAAGAACGCGAGATCGCCGCTGAAGGAGTCATTACGAGCGAGTGAAAGAAGCTTTGTATAACGTTCGATGCGATGTATAGCGATCGGGCCGATCTTTACGAACGAATTGTCCGACAGTCGCGACGTTCGCGAGCACTTGAAGAGAGAGAGAGAGAGAGAGAGAGAGAGAGAGAGAGAGAGAGAGAGAGA